AAGGAGGAATGAGGTTGTCTGGATGACTGAACTAAGTTAAATCAAAAGCTTCAGTCATCTAATAAACACCTTGTAAATTTTGTGAAAGGACATCTGTGGCAACAACTGATAACATTCATCAACAAGTTTTCCTTACACTATTTTATTGGGGCCATTTTCTTTGAAAATACAACAGTGTCTTGAAGAAAATATAATTGGCCATTAATTATGTTGGTCTATTGAGCATCCAACAAAACAAACTATGTTGCATCTTTAATGCAGTTGAAAACAACCTGTGGTGCTTCATGGGACTGAAGTCAGAAAAATCTTTGATGCCAAGTTCCATGAAAAGATAATAGGGACAGTGTTTTAGCAACTAAGTAGGCCCTTAAGGAATATCATAATGGAGATGAGAGATTGGTGAGATACAGATGGTTAGCACAGGAATTTTTGACCTTGATGCCTATGTTGTTGAAGCAAGGCCACCAGGGATCAGAGAACAAAAAGCATTCATGCACTGGAGGGCAGAATTGGTGAACTGCGTGGACCATACGGAACGGGGGCACAGGTCATGGCTGTGGTAATGGAAGAAGTTTTATAGAATTATAGAATCCCTACAGTGTGGCCCAACAAGTCCTCACCAGTTCTCCAAAGAGCATCCCATGCAGACTCAACCTCTACCCTATCCCTGTAACCCTAATGTAATGGCTAATCCACCTAAACTACTCATCCCTGGACACTGTGGAGATTTAGCATGGCCAATCCACCTAACCTGCACGGACTGTGGGACAAAACTGAAGTACCTGGAGGAAACCCACAGAGAGAATGTGCAAACTCCACACAGACAGTTGCCCGAGGCTGGAATTGAACCTGGGTCCCTGGTGCTGTGAGGCTGCAGTGCTAACCACTGAGCCACCATGCTGCCCCCACAGAATAAGTTACAGAGTATCCTGCAGCTTTGTTGAAATGGCAACACTCTTGAAACATCAATTCCCAATCACATTTTCTCCTGACATTGACAGAGTTGACACCCTAGCATTTTGTAACCAACACTGTTATCGGACCACTGGCAAAACAAGAACTGCAGTGGTTTAAGTAGACACACCACAAGCTTCTCTGGGCAACTAAGGATGTACAACAGTGCAGCCTTAATCAGTGTTAACAACATTCCCAAAAACAAATGGAAAGAATACTATACCACGACTGAGTATGTCTTTCCCAGCGTCAGGCTGAGTCCAGCCATACAAGAGCAGAGTTTAAGTACTAAATCCCCTCATTGCTTTCTAAACTGCATCAGGGACCACTCCTCAAAGCACACAAATTGGTTATCTAGAGAAAAATATCTTATAAATTAGATAAAGACAGAATGTAGTTGTCCAACTTTAGAGAATGCAGCCCAGCAGAAATTGTTGACTAACTATAGGTGTGGCCGTGATTGCACTATTTTTATCACATGAATTGATTTAAGTAGAAAAGACCTCACTTGCATATTACAGGTAAATGTGCATTCCATTTGTATATGTAAATCATAAATATCATCCCTAAGCGAGGAAGTAAAACACTCTCAATGATTATAAAATATACACATATTCTGCCTTCCATCTTATCATTTTATCAACAAACACAAATATAATTTTTAAAGTTTACAAACATACTCGGGTGAATATTGAGATTACATGCCCAACGATGTGTGTTACCCATTGTTTATTCACAGACATCTTGACTCAACCAATTCTGAGATATTATTACACACTTCTGGAGCAGGTAGTACTTTTTTTTTCTTTATTCGCTCATGGAATGAGGGTATCACTGGCTAGGCAGCATTTTTTGCCTAATTGCCCAGACAGCAGTTAAGAGTCAACCACATTGCTGTGGGTCTGGAGTCACATGTAGGCCAGATCAGTTAAGGATGGTAGTTTCCTTCCCTAAAGGGCATTAGTGAAACAGATGGGTTTTTCTGAAAACTGGCAACAGATTTCACGGTCCTTATTAGATTCTTAATTCCAGATATTTATTGAATTCAAATTTCACCATCTGCCATGGCGGGATTTGAACCTGGGTCCCCAGAACATTATCTGGTTTCTGGATTAATGGTTCAGCAATAATACCACTATGCCATCACGTCCCCCAGTACTTCTGGCTTAGAGATAGAGATACTACCACTGTGCCACAGGAGCCCCTCTATTGTTTATTTACAAAACACAAATGCAATTTATCATATCTGGGCCCTGAACATCTGGTTAATACATTGGAAAACACTGTGCAAAGATCAATTTCAGACAAAACAGAACAGATTCTGATGAAACATCATTGACCTATAATGTTACAGAAGTTGCCTGACCTACTGAGTATTTTGAACATTTGCTTTTCTTTGTTATTATTGTCGTAACAAATTGCCCTTCTTTCCGGAGTTAGCAACAATACATTGCAAAATAACCCAATTCAAACTAAACCTTGCCTGGAAACAAAACTCAATACTCCTCCATGTCTCAGATTTTCAGCTCCTTTTTCTCCCCTCAGCAGCTGGATTGACGGACAACCTTCCTGAACAATAGAGCTTTCTCTCTCAGGGGACTGAGTCAGCCATCAAAGGCTATCACATGTTGGAAAATACAGATACCATAGAGCGGGTTCTATGATCTTGCATCTAAGGGAAATTACTGTGTTGATGAAATAAAACAGAGGTGGAAAGCAGAAAGAATACTGAATGTTCCAAACAATTCAACGTGTCCATGGGTAGTTATTATTGTGATAGCAGAAATACATGAGTGGCAACAATGGATAAAAACAAAACCTTTACTTCTCTTGAAATTCTACTACAATTTAGCAAGAATGCTAATTCCATCACCCAGAACGGGAGACTCTATAATTTTTTGGTAATGGAATAATCAAATGTGCAATGATAATCCTCTGATGTTTTGCAATTACTTCACACCCTAGGACATAGAGAATTAATTATAGGTACTATGAATGCTGACTGTACTTTAAAACAGCAATGGGATAATACCTCAGAAATTAAAAATAATGGATCAATGGGTGATTTTTAAATAGGAGGCAGTTTGATTTCACAGCAGGTAAATTCTTGGGGGGAAAAGAAAAGTCAACTAAAGACTGAGCCCCCAGGATGAGAAAGGAATGGAATAAGATGAAGCAGAAAAGATTCTAAGATGGTGTCAAGTTCAAGTTACAAGGAAGAATCAGGGTGAACATAAAGTGTACAAGCAAGCAGAAAAAGAAACAGATGGGGGTGTGGGGCGAATGTTAGTGGCTGACCAAGAATACGTTGACTATCTTAAAAAAAAATCCAAAATTTGTGTGTTGGCATGTTAATGGTGAAAGGGTTACCACAGGAGCAATGGGGTTGATCAGCATAAAATAACAAATTTCAAACAGAAAGTCAAGATCTGTCTGAAGTCCAAAATGAGAACTTTATTTCAAAGTTTATCAAAGAGGGGTTTGCCAAAGTTGCAGTTAACAAGAAGATTGTCTGAATATTGGATGAGATAAAATTGACAAATAGTTGACACTGGAAAACTGGCAAGATTCAAAGTTAATAAGTCACCTATTGCTGGGTTGCAAGGAAAAGTAAAGTTGTATATTGCAGTATAGTCACAATCTTTCAATCCACCTCTAATAGAGGAGTGGTTTCAAAGGACTGAAGGATTGCAAATATTACATCCTTATTCGAAAGATGGGTAAGAATATTAACCTGAGACAAAGCACCAAAATGTTACTACTGATAATCAGACAGAAAATTAACAGCCACTTGGACAATCATGGGCTAGTGAAGGAATGCCAGCACGGTTCTGTTCAGGGAAAGGAGTGCTGAAATAAGTTGATTTTTTAAGTTTATTACAGAGTGGGTGGATGAGGATACTAGAGTATATGTCTATATGGACCTTCAAAATGTTTTTGGTGAAATACGATCAGATTTGTTGGCAATATTGAAGCCCATGGAATAAAAGGAGCAGTAACAGTATGATTTAGCCAAGAGATAGAAAACAAAGAGCTGTACTGAACTGCTGTTATTTTTTTGGTGACCAGAAAACATTATACAGTGGCATTCAACAAGATTGAATACCTGAATCACTATCTGCTTTTTAAAAAAAACATGTTAATGATTGGGTTTTGGAGATACAGAGCATAGTTCAAAATCTGTGATTGATACAAAACTTGTATACAACAGTAATAGATTTCATCAGGACACACACAGGTTGTTGGAATGGGCAGACACCTGACACTTTATAAATGGAGTTATCAAGTGTAACAGTCAGGGATTTAAAACACAAGTCCAGCCTAAGTTGGTATATACTGCCTAATTCTGGGCAGTACACCTCAGAAAGGGCATACTAGCATTGGACAGCATGAGATAAAAGATGCATAAGAACGGTTCCACACCTTTTCAAATAAATTGGAGCACAGACTGCTGGAAAAACTCAGCAGGTCTGAAGAAGGGTCACTGGACCCAAAACGTTGGCTCTGCTTTTCCTCCATGGATATTGCCAGCCCTGCCAAGTTTTTAGCAGTTTGTGGTTTTTTTTCTGCTTTCTAGCATCCATAGTTATTTTGAAAGAAGCAGGGGTTGTTCTCTGTAGTACTGAGAATAAAAAGAGATTTGATAAAGGCCTTTAAAATTAAGATTGGTTTGAGATGAAGTAAACAAAGAGAAACTGTTTCCAGTGATTGCAAAGTTAATAACTAGAGGCCACTGATTTGAGGTGATTGGCACAAGAGCTGGAGTCAAGTTGAGGATTTGTTTTCTATCTACAAAATGATTTGAATTTGAAATATATTCAAAGTCAAAAATAAATTTGCTAAATAGTCAAAATAAAACAGATTATGAAACTGTTTTGCTGTTCTATACTTACCTTCTATACAGTTACTGTTAAATCTGCTCTCCCACAATTTTAGTATATGGACCATATCATTGTTTCAGCATTCCCAGTGATTTTGTTTGTCTATTTCTGAAATAACTCTGGTACATCTACCTATTAAACTTGAAAAAAGAATTCAGTGAGTACCTCCTGGAGAATCCTCTTCAGTTTGAGAAGCATTGTCTTTACTGCGGTGCAGTCCTGCATCATCAACCTCAAGGACATGGCTTCCAGACCACCACCAGGCTCATCCTCCCTCAGAAGGGACCAGTCTGAAGATGCAGCACTCGGCCAATGGTTGTACCGAAGAGGTCTAGATTCACAAAACTCACCTTCTTTTGAAGGCTGGATAAATGGAAGTCTAGGAAAACAGAAATTGTAGATGTTGTATGTCAGAAAAGTTATACATAATCGATTATGAAAACTATTTGCAGCAATGCTTTGACTGAGTGTCTGGTCAACCTCTCAGAACTGCTCCGCCATTCATGACTGATCATCTACCTGGATGCTATTTTCCCATGTTACCATCAACGTCATTAGTAAGTAGAACTCTCTCAATATCTCTCTTGAACATACTCAATGACTGACCCGTGATAGAGAATTCCAAAGATTCAGTACTTTCTGGGCAAAGAAACTCTTCATCTCATTCCCAAACAGCTTGACCCCTATTCTGAGATTCTGAGGCTCTGACCCCTGGTTCTAGGCCCCCAAGACAGACAGCACAACTTTTCTGCCTCTACCCTGTCAATTCCTACAAGAGTTTTGTAAACTTTAATGAGACTACCTTTGTATTCTTCTAAAGTTCAAAGAATACAGGTCCATTCTTCTCAATTTCATCCTATAGGGCAGTTTTGCCATCCCAGGACCATGGCTGAAGAATCTCCATTGTACTCCCTCTAAAGAAAACGCATCGTACTTTAGGCAATGGGACCAGAACTACACATAACATTCCAGGTATGGGTTCACCAACTTCTATACCTCTGAAGCAAATCATCATTACTCTTGTACTTCAAATTCCTTGAGGTAAAGGCTATCATGAAATTTCCCCCTTGGTTACTGCTGCATTTGCACGTTAGCTCTCAGTGACATATGAACAACAATATGCCAATCCCTTTTGACATCAATACATTTCCTAATTTCAACATGCTGGAAATAATTTCTATATCAATTCTGCTACCAAACGGGTTACCTCACATCCACACATTACATTCCATGTGCCAAGCTCTTGCCCACTCACTAAGTCTATCCAAATCCCATTGAAGCTTCTAGTGAAGCATCTTCACAACACAAATGCCCATCTAGATTAGTGCCAACTAAAAAATTAGAGATATTAATGAACAGCTGGGGCAATTCATTCTAGCAGGACCTGACTGATTAAAGCCTACGAACCCGAGAATGAGCCATATAGTTCCAATCAGTTCTATTTCCATTAATCAATTCTCAATCCAGGCCTGTATCCTGCCCCCATTCTATGTGCTTTCATTTTGTTTACATTTTGTTTTGTGTGAGATCTTAACAAAAGCTTCTGAAAATCGATATACACCACATTCACTGGTTCTTCCTTACCAACTCTGCCAGAAATATCCTCCAAAACCTCTATCAGATTTAATAAAAATGATATACCTTTCATAAATCCATGTTAACTCTGCCCAATTGATCATTTATTTCCTAGTTGTCCAGTTATTACATCCTTTATAATAGAGTCTAGTACATTTCTGTATTACTAACATCATGCTAATAGGTCTCCAGTTTCTCATTTTCTCTCCCTCCTTCCAACATTATAGTCTGCTGGAAACATTCTAGAATCTGTACTTTTTTTTTTAAAAAAGGTGATCACCAATGCATCTATTATTTCCATAGCTACATCTTTTAAAACTTTCGAATGTACATCATTGGGTTCTGGGGATTTGTCAACTTTCAGTTATTTTAATTTCTCCAATTCTGCTCTTTTATTAATGCTCATTTGTTCCAGGCTTTCATTTCCACTAGTTATACCATTGCTTTATTACAAACAGGATTTGCAGCACATATCAGGCCATTTGGCTCAGCTGGCAATGCTGTTCGGTCTCATTTTCGACCCAAGATTTGCCAGAAATTGTACATCAGTTCTACTGTCTCAATGTGTAATTGTTGTGCATGGAGTTGTAACATAACTGTGGTTTGGGGACTTGGGTGAGGTTAGGCGGCTGGGGGGCCTGGGAGGCTCTTGTGGAACAGTGGTAGTGTCCCTACCTCTGAGTCAGGAGGCCTGGGATCAGCATTTTAACAAGCTATTTAACAAATGTGATATGACCTCTAGCGTTAACATAGGAGCAGGAGGATGCCATTTGGCCCTGCGAGCCAGTTCCGTCATTCTTTACAATCAGGGCTGATCATCCAAATCAATAGCCTAATCCTGCTTTCTGCCCATAACCTTTGATCCCATTCGCTCCAAGTGCTATATCTATCTGCCTCTTGAATACATTCGATGTTTTGGCATCAACTACTTCCTGTGGTAATGAATTCCACAGTCTCACCACTCTTTGGGTAAAGAAACGTCTCCTCATTTCCATCCTAAATCATCTACCCCAAATCTTCAGACTGTGACCCCTGCGTTCTGGACACACCCACCATTGGGAACATCCTGCCTGCATCTACCCTGTCCAGTCCTGTTAGAATTTTAAAAGTCTCTCTGAGACCCTCCCTCATTCATCTGGACTCTAGTGAAAACAATCCCAACCTTGTCAATTTCTCTTCATCCGTCAGACCTGCCATCCCAGGAATCAGCCTGGTAAACCTTCGCTGCACTCCCTCGAGAGCAAGAGCATCCTTCCTCAGGAAAAAAGAGATCAGAATCGTACACAATATTCTAGGTGCAGCCTCACCAAGGTCCTGTATAACTGCAACACATCCCTGCTCCTGTACTCAAAAACTCTTGCAATGAAGGCCAACATACCATTTGCCTTCTTTACCACCTGCTGCACCTGCATGCTTACTTTCGGTGATTTGCGAACAAGGATGCCCAGGTCCCACCGCACATGCAGAGTTGGAGTGCAAATCACATTATGAAATAACTACATAAGCTACAGAACAGACAGAATAGCAAACCTTAGGTTTGTGTGAACATGGTAAGTATGTACATACTAATCTGTTGTATCCTAACTCAAACATGCTCTTCAGACAAAAATCAAAACTTGAAAACGTTTTCTACAATGTTATTGTTGCTCTGTAATTTAGCAAGGTGAACAGCGCTCATATTAAAAGAGAGACAAGAAACATTTTCTGCTAAAACTTTAGTTAAATGAATGCTCAAACCAAAACTGAATCATGATAGCAACCTTATATTCTCACAGCTTACATCTGCAGAATGCTTTTTTAGTGCAAAACCAAGCCTCTCTGGAAAACATCTGCAAAAACTAAATGCTACAATAAATTTAAAATATTTAATTTGGAGAATTCAATAGCCAACATTGGACTGGATGCAAGTTGCAACACAAGTAAGTTATAGGCTTAACAGAGCAGCATTGAAAATACTAGTATAACGCTCTGAGATACCAAGAACTGCAGATGCTGGAGTCAGTCAGTCAATACAGTATAGAGCTGGAGGAACATAGCAGGTCAGGCAGCATCAGAGGAGTAGGCAAGTCAACTCTTCTTCAGTACTCCTGAAACATCACAACCCACAAATACACCACCAAGTAAAACCATTCTGACCCGAAACCGTATCACTGTTCTTTCATTAATGCTGGGTCAAAATTCTGGAAATACCCAACTAACTGTAACTATACCTGAACCTCCTCATCCCAACACCCGCCACCCTTCCATATTTTAGCATTTCAAAGAAGTGACTCACCACCACTTTCTCAGGGGCAATTAATGATGGGCTATAAATGTTGGCCTAGCTCCTCTGATGCTGCTGTGCTCCTCCAGCTCCACACTGTATTGAGTATAACTCTTTCTATGCTTTCCTGTCTATAGAATGCTTGATGCTATGCTGTTACATGATTGAAAACTTTGTGAATGATGAAACAAGAACAGCATAAGAACAGTCACAGTTTTAGGCTTACAGAGTCCAGCTGTCGAAACTTTACACAGATTGAAGTGGAAATAATACAGGACTTTTCAGATTACTTAGGTAGAATAGGTTTCACCTGAGAAATGGAAATCTGTTCTTAGTGCGATACTGACAATGGAGTTCTGGATGCATCTAGAATTAGCTTTCCACTCCTTTTTGATGCTTATCCACTCCTGCTCAAAGTGTTATTTGGAAGATATTGGAAAAATTGAAGTATTGGCTTCTGTTTTTTCTTTTAAGTTCATCCAGATGATTGTGGGCATTGCTGGTGAGGCCAACATTTATTGCCATCACTAACTGCCCCTGAGAAAGTGGTGGTCAGCTACTTCTTTGATATGCTAGAACATGGAAGGGCGGCAGGGGTCGGGGTGAGGAGGTTCAGGTCTAGTCATAGTTAGTTGGGTACTTTCACAATTTTGACCCAGCATTAGAGAAAGAACAGTGATATGGTTTCAGGTGAGAATGGTTTTACTTGGTGGCATATTTGTGGGTCGTGATCTTTCAATCCATCTGCTGCCATTTTTGTCTTTCTAAAGCTAGAAGTTACAGATTTAGAAGGAACTGCTGAAGGAGCCTTGGTACATTGCTTCTTATACACATCATTCTACATTGTTTAGCTCAGTTTGCTGCACCACTGGTTCATGATGCATGTGATGTCAACACTACTGATTCAATTTCCACACCAACTAAGGTTACAATGAAGATCCCACCTTCTCAACCTCATCCGTCACCCCTTGCCTGAGGCACAGTGAGCCTCAGGTTAAACCACCACCAGCCATCTCCCTCTAACAAGAGAGCAACCGTCTGGGACTATGATGACTTTACCTTTATGTTAATTATTAACAATTCACGTTGTGATGAAAACCTTTTGTCAGTGTGAATTTTTCTAAGCTTGTAATTGAGGACTGGATGTTATCTGGAAAATTGTAACATTCAGGAAACATGGTTTTACAATGGTTACCACATTCAATCCCACCATGGAGCAAGGGCAGGGCTTCTGGTAATGTTTTTCAACAGGTCATTCAGAACATTTCAAAGGTTGTTAAACAGTTTTTGTCAGTTGGTCAGAGGCAATGGGAGCAGAAGGTTGCCAGTCAATCAGAAACTTAAGGAAAAATAGATGAGGCATAATCCCAAAAAGATGAGTGTTGTAGCAGACTTCGAATAATTACGATGTCTGGATGATGATGGGGATGGGGTGGGGGAAAGTTGGGGGGGGGGGGTATGTTTGGGTTTAGGGGTCAGGAAAATATCTGGGACATTTGGGGGCTCAAAAAAGAGTTTTACTTTCTACCATTAAACGGCTC